ATTGACTGTACACTTTCTATCTATTGTGGGCAGGACATAATTTGTATATATGTGTGTATCATATCCATATGTGGTTGTGTTATATCCATGTGTGTGTGGGGCAGGGATAAATATATGTCCGTGTGTGTGAATATACTATATGTACGTATGTATATAAAGATATGTATACTTATGTTTATATCTACAGCTATATATGATGCACAGATATATACGTATAGATAGATAGATGGATAGATGAAAGGATACAGATATATAGAGATGTACTGATATCATAAATAGATCTGAACGCGTTGGGAATAAGCAGTCCTCGATTTTTTTTCTATCATCCGTTGTCTACATACCAAGATTTGCATTTTTCAATGAGGTTATTGTTAGAATATACATTCCCACCATGAGAAATAGAGAATCAAAACTCGCCGTAAATTCAGGCGAAATGGCAGTTAACACATAAATCAGGATTGTTCAAAGTGCGGGTCGCAAATTCACGTTCAGTGGTCGACATATGATGGTATTAATAATTATATATATTATATATAATATAAATATATATATATATATATATATATGTGTGTGTGTGTGTGTGTGTGTGTGTGTGTGTGTGTGTATGTGAAACTTTCTTATATTCAAGCATGTATGTGTTATGTGATGCGTATATATATATATATATATATTTATTTATATAATATATATATATATAGTATAATATATATATATATGAACTTTTATACTATATATACTTTATATATGTAATGTATTATTGCAATGAAATTTTATATATACATGTATAATGTGAACTTGTACTAATTTCTATATACGTATACACAATACATAATATATATATTATATATATATATATATATATATATATTATATATATATATATTTATATTAAATGTATATATAGTATGTATGTATATAGATATAGATAGATAGAGGATATAGATATACATATATAAAAGACTTTTTTTCATCTAAACCATTTTTCTTACATTCGTCAAGTTAATCTTTACATCATAAGTGCTGTTACAAAATGCTGAACTGGAATTACGCAAGATAATCCCTACGCAATAGATGTGGACATCGATAGATAAAGAGAAGAATAGACGATATGAATAGACTGATAAAGGTATTGATACAGGGACATATGCAAAGACACATATATTTTGTACACTAGTTCCCGCAATCTGTATTAGTGTCATCTTTCGCTACACTATTGTCCTAAAAAAAAAAATCTACTTCTGAACTAATATACCGAAAGGTGAAGGTCCAGATGTTTCCGAAAATTTTCTAGTTTTTCGGAGAGCTGTGGAGCACGTGGTTGACAAAAAAATAAGCCTAAAAAACTTACATAGACCTTCCATGGAAAATCTCCGAATACCTTAAAAAGGTCGATTAATTTAAATTCAGATTTTAAACGGGCAAGACAAAAAAGTTCACAAACAGCACAATAATCATTCGGATATATACAGTATGTATCTAGTACCAATACCTATAGCCATTAATATATTAATATAATATACTAAAATTATATATATAGTATATATATAGTATATATATATATGTTAAGCGATAGTTAGGGCTTGAGGCTCAAATTTAACCCAGGAAGACCTACCAAATTTCGTTTAATCTCACATAAACTTGAGTCGTGAAGATCAGGCTCTAATCCAGCGATAGGTTAGCAAGTACGCGTGGCAATTTGGGGAGTTAAGGGTATGAAGGTTCCGTTGATTTTTAGGGAGATTAATGGATTAAGGATGTAAATTGGTGATTAGGACGTTAGGGTTAGGTTAGGGTATTCGGCCTGCGAAATTTTAATGCCAGAGAGGAGCTGCCAAATTTTTTCGTTTTCTTGCACATAAACTTGATCGTAAATCAGCTCTAATCCAACGATAAGTTAACAGTACCGGTTGCAATTGTGGGGAGGTTAGGATTAGGTTACGAATTGAGTTAGGTTAGGTAAGGTATTATAGGTATATATGTATGTGTTATGTAGTAAGTATATATATATCATATATGATTTTAATATAAGAGTAGTACTCAATATTATTATTATACACTCAGTAGAGACTCGCAAAGTTCTGTATTTTCTACTCAACTGTCACACTAGATTACAGAGCCGATCACACAAACAAACGTACAGCACAGACCATATCTAAATCCACGAATAGGTTTAGCAGTAAAACCCTAATATATATATATATATATATATATTATATATAATATATATATATATATGGTGTATTGTGTGTGTGTGTTGTGTGTGTGTGTGTGTGTGTGTGTGTGTGTGTGTGTGTACGTTGTGTGTGCATGTGTGTGGATATGTATATCTATATACATACATATACTATATTATATATATATATATATATATATATATATATATATATATATAATTGTGGTGTGTGTGTGTATACATATATGTATGCATAACATACACGTGTACATACACATATACACACAAATATATATAACATAAATATATACATATATATATATATAATATATCTATGTATACATAATATTTGTGTGTGTGTGTATATTTATATTTGCATTTATACGTATGTATAGTATACATAGTATGTATACATGTTATATATGTATGCCATATATAAGATAGATAGATAGATAGATAAATAGATAGATAGATAGATAGATATAGATATGTAGAAGTAGTCGGCTATTAAGACCTGAATGCTTTTCTTTTAATTATATCTCTTACTTTTCTCCGATATACATGGAAGTGAGAGAAAGAGAGAAAGGAGGGAAGGGAGGGAGAGGAAAAGAGAGAGAAAAAATGGATGGATTATATGGATCATGATTTGATGGAAAATGCAATAAAAGAGTTTAGAAAGAATACAGAGAAAGGAAAGACCACGGAGCAGATGAATAGATATATTGGGAAAAGTGAGGAGAAAGAGAGGAAGAAATGAGAGAAGACAATAGAGACTGAAAGAAAAGAGAAGACGAGAGAGACTGAAGGAGAGACTGAAAGAATAGAGAAACGAGAGAGAAAGGGAGAGGAGATAGAAGAGATAAAATACGAAGAGGAGATACATAAAGAGCAAGGAAGATAATGAGAAAACACAAAGCGACAGAGAAAGAACGAATTAGGAAGGGAACAAGCAACAAATAATTTGATGTCAGGGAACTTAAGTAAATATAAGAATACAAAAAGAAAACAATTTATTTACATTACAAAATAAATAAAACCCAACATGGTTAACAACAATCAACAAATCAATCATTGGTTTCACAGTTCTCTCTGTTCATCAACAGAAAAAAAAAGTTTTGTTTATAATCAATAGTTATCATAGCAACAAGATGTTTTTCTCTCCTTATTTACTTATCGAATGATATTTATGCTCGCGGTCTCTACAGGAACTTGTTGACAGCATCATCAATCAATTGCTGGACGAAGGTGACCTTCTCATCGTAGGCTGGGGCACCGTAAGCGCTGTCGAAATTGAGATTGGAATTAATACATATTTAATACAGTTATGCTTTCCTAAAAAAATAAATAAATAAATAAATAAATAAATGTCATTAACCGAAGCTAATACAGAAAGAGGTCATTTGCAGAAGCCCAAAGCCTCCTCAGACGAGGCGAAACTCACGTAGTGGAGGCGTAGTCGAAGGGCTTGGCGAACTTGGCCGAGGTCCCGAAGAGCCCCAGGAGAGAGCCGAGAAGGAGCACGCCGACGAAGACGACCACGACGTAGGAGAGGGTCTCCTGGCCGATGGTGACGGAGGTGTTGCTGTCGTCGTAGAAGAGTCGTGCGTCGTTTTTGTGGGCGGCGTCGGCTGCGTGCGTGAGGGCGGCCAGGGCGAGGAGGAGGGCGGCGAAGGTGATTCCTGTAAAGGGATGGGTCAGTGGCAATGACAATCCTGATAAAAATGTAACAGGAATATTACTGAGACTCTGCCCTTTACATGTTTATCGAGTTGCAAGAGACACATTGAGAGAAGTTTATTGAGACAAATGGATACAAGACAGGGCGAGAGAGAGATAGACCCAAATAATAAAACTGCTTTAGTTAGATCTTTAAATGCAAATCTAGGCAGTTAGCTGTTTCCAAGGAAACGCAGAAGACGAAAATAGTTTAACCAGGATCATTTTCCAAGCAATGGTATTTGACCCATATACACATGAGACGAAAATAGTTTAACCAGGATTATTCTTTTCAGTCACTAAGTGAACCACACTACTATTATCCAAGTTCAAAACAAAACATCGCCTCTCAAGTTTCCAATAACCAAGCACTTCAAACGTATATATCAACGTTTGCACACCGCACGAACACCCTGACACGAATTGCCATATACTGTCTAAGATAAGTGTCTGACCGTACCGTGAGCGGCCATTGTGCTTGAGAAACGTGACAGGACAGGCAGGCAGCAGAGCGGATCGTCACTCGATGATGATCACAGGGTGACTGGTGTCTCAAACGCCTCCGTGGTTTCTTAAGTAGACCTACTGGGAGAGAGCCACAGTAACTGCATTGACTGTACACTTTCTATCTCTGTGGGCAGGGATATAATTGTGTGTGTGTGTGTGGTGTGTGTGTGTTTGTCTATATACTATATGTACGTATGTATAAAAAGATATGTATGCTTAGCTGCAGTAACTGCATTGACTGCACACTTTCTATCTTTGTGGGCAGGGATATAATTGTGTGTGTGTGTCATATCCATATGTGTGTGTTATATCCATGTGTGTGTGGGCAGGGATAAATATATATGTCTGTGTGTGTGAACATACTATATGTACGTATGTATATTAAGATATGTATACTTATGTTTATATCTATATCTCTATATATGCATAGATATACGTATAGATAGGTAGATGGATAGATGAAAGGATACAGATATATAGAGATGTACTGATATTCATAAATAGATTTGAACGCGTTGGGAATAAGCAGTCTCGATTTTTTTCTATCATCCGTTGTAACATACAAGATTTTGCATTTTCATGAGGTTATTGTTAGAATATACATTCCCATCATGAGAAATATAGAATCAAAACTCGCCGTAAATTCAGACGAAATGGCAGTTATCAGATAAATCAGGATTGTTCAAAGTGCGGGTCGCAAATTCACGTTCAGTGGTCGACATATGATGGTATAATAATTATATATATATATATATATATATATATATATATATATATATATATATATATAAATATATATATATTGTGTGTGTGTGTGTGTGTGTGTGTGTGTGTGTTGTGTGTGTGTGTGTGTGTGTGTGTGTGTGTGTGGAACTTTCTTATATTCAAATGCATGTATGTGTGTGTATTGTATATATATATATATGTATATATAATTATATATATATATATATATATATATATAATATATATATATATATATATTAATAATATATATATATATATAATTTTATACTATATATACATTTATATATGTATGTATGTATATGCATATAAATATGTATATATACATGTATATGTGAACTTGTACTATTTCTATACACATATACATATATACATATATAAACATGTATATACATATATAAACCTTTTTTTCATCCATGCCATTTTTCTTACATTCGTCAAGTTAATCTTTACCATCATAAGTGCTGTTACAAATCTGACTGGATTACTGAAAATCCTACGCAATAATGTGATCTATCGATAGATAGAGACAGATAAAGATAGAGAAATAGACTGAATATAGGTATTGAACAGGGACATATGCAACGACATATATTTGTACATTAGTTCCCGCAATCTGTATTAGTGTCATCTCTCGCTACACTCTTGTCCTTAAAAAAAATCACTTCTGAACTAATATACCGAAAGGTGAGGTCCAGATGTTTCCGAAAATTTCTAGTTTTTCGAGAGCTGTGGAGCACGTGGTCGACAAAATATAGGCCTAGAAACTTGTATAGACCTTACTAGGTAAATCTCCGATTATTTAAATCCAGATTTTAAGCGCAAGACAAAAAGTTCACGAACAGACAATAATCATGCAGATACATACAGTATGTATCTTGTATCAAAACCTATATCCATCAATATATCAGTATCTATATATATATATATATATATATATATATATATAATATATATATATATACCTATTTACACATATATATTTATGTGTGTGTGTATAACATATATGTATGCATATATACACATGTGCACACACACACACGCACACATGCACACATATATATAATATATATATATATATATATATATATATATATATATATATATATATATATATATATATATATATATATATATATATAATATATCTATGTGTACATATATATTTGTGTGTGATATTTTATATTTGTATTTGTACGCATGTATGTATATATGCACGTATGTATACATGTATATATGTAAGTATATATATATATATATATATATATATATATTATATATATATATATATATGTTGTGTGTGTGTGTGTGTGTGTGTGTGTGTGTGTGTGTGTGTGTGTGTGTATGTATATAGATAGATAGATAGATAGATAGATAGATATAATGTAGAAGTAGTCGGCTATTGAGAACCTGAACGTTTCTTTTAATTATATCTCTTACTTTTCTCTCGTGTACATGGAAGTGAGAAAAGGAGGGGGGAGGGATGTGGACGGAAGGAGAGGGGAGATGGGGAGAGAGAGAGAGAGAGGGAGGGAGGGAGAGGAAGAGAGTGAGAGAGAGAAATGGATGGATTATATGGATCATGATTTGAAGGAAACTGCAATAAAAGAAAATTGGAAAGAAAATAGAGAAAGGAAAGACCACGGAACAGATGAATAGATATATTGGGAAAAGTGAGGAGAAAGAGAGGAAGAATGAGAGAAGACAGAGAGACAAAGGAGAGACTGAAAGAAAAGAAGACGAGAGAGACTGAGAGAGACTGAGACGAGAGAGACTGAAGGAGAGACTGAAAGAAAAGAGAAACGAGAGAGAAAGGGAGAGGAGATGGAAGAGATAAAATACGAAGAGGAGATACATAAAGAGCAAGGAAGATAATGAGAAAACACAAAGCGACAGAGAAAGAACGAATTAGGAAGGGAACAAGCAACAAATAATTTGATGTCAGGGAACTTAAATAATATGTTAGTAATATAAGAATACAAAAAGAAACTTTATTTACATTACAAAATAAATAAAACCCAACATGGTTAACAAACAATCAACAAATCAATCATTGGTTTCACAGTTCTCTCTGTTGATCAGGAGAAAAAAATAAATCAATAATCATTGCAACAAGATGTTTTTCTCTCCTTATTTACTTATCGAATGATATTTATGCTCGCGGTCTCTACAGGAACTTGTTGACAGCATCATCAATCAATTGCTGGACGAAGGTGACCTTCTCATCGTAGGCTGGGGCACCGTAAGCGCTGTCGAAATTGAGATTGGAATTAATACATATTTAATACAGTTATGCTTTCATTAAAAGTAAATAAATGTCATTAACCGAAGCTAATACAGAAAGAGGTCATTTAAAGAAGCCCAAAGCCTCCAAAGACGAGGCGAAACTCACGTAGTGGAGGCGTAGTCGAAGGGCTTGGCGAACTTGGCCGAGGTCCCGAAGAGCCCCAGGAGAGAGCCGAGAAGGAGCACGCCGACGAAGACGACCACGACGTAGGAGAGGGTCTCCTGGCCGATGGTGACGGAGGTGTTGCTGTCGTCGTAGAAGAGTCGTGCGTCGTTTTTGTGGGCGGCGTCGTCTGCGTGCGTGAGGGCGGCCAGGCGAGGAGGAGGGCGGCGAAGGTGATTCCTGCAAAGGGATGGGTCAGTGGCAATGACAATGATGAAATCATAACAAGAACATTACTGAGACTGTCTTTGACATGTATATCAAGAGTTACAAGACAGACGCAAAATTGAGAGAGAAAAAAATTACTTTTACAAGTTTAATAAGACAAGTGAATATAAGACAGGGCGAGAGAGAGATAGACCCAAATAATAAAACTGCTTTAGTTAGATCTTTAAATGCAAATCTAGGCAGTTAGCTGTTTCCAAGGAATAATATCTAACCCATATACGCATAAGACGAAAATAGTTTAACCAGGATCATTCTTTTCACAGTCACTAAGTGAACCACACTACTATTATCCAAGTTCAAAACAAGCCTTCATCGCCTCTCAAGTTTCCAATAACCAAGCACTTCTACAAACGTATATCAACGTTTGAAACGAATTGCCATATACTGTCTAAGATAAGTGTCTGACCGTACCGTGAGCGGCCATTGTGCTTGAGAAACGTGACAGGACAGGCAGGCAGCAGAGCGGATCGTTACTCGATGGTGATCACAGGGTGACTGGTGTCTCAAACGCCTCCGTGGTTTCTTAAGTAGACCTACTGGGAGAGAGCCACAGTAACTGCATTGACTGTACACTTTCTATCTATGTGGGCAGGGTTATAATTGCGTGTGTGTGTGTCATATCCATGTGTGTGTGGGCAGGGATAAATATATGTGTCTGTGTGTGAACACACAATATGTACGTATGTATATAAAGATATGTATACTTATGTTTACAGCTATATCTATATATGCATAGATATACGTATAGATAGGTAGATTTTTTCTATCATCCGTTGTCCATATGCAAGATCTTGCATGTAGAATATACATTCCAACCATGAAAAATATAAAATCAAAACTCGCCGTAAATTCAGACGAAATGACAGTTACCACATAAATCAGGAATATTCAAAGTATATATATACATATATAATATATATGTATATATATACAGATATATAATATATATACATATATATAATATATATGTATATATATACATATATATATATATTTATTATATTATTATTATATGAACTGATATCTGGTTAAGAGAACGATACGATAGAATGGACATACTGGGCTGAAAAAAAGTTTGAAAAACTCTGAACTAAATCATTAGTGTTTCGTCTGCAGATAAATTTGGGATCGTAATCTTCATGAAAACTAGAGAAAAAAAACATGAATGAGAATGCATAACGCATTTGACGCTTTCGACGGAATCCTCACCAAATATAAATCTATATCATTTATATATGCCAAATGCGCCCTCCTGTGACTGTTTTCTTCTTTTTCATTCATTCTTATTTTCTTACATTTGTCTAGTTAACCTTTACCATCATAAGTGTGGTTATAAATCTGACTGGATTACTGAAAACCCTACGTAATAATGTGGTTTGTCGATATAGTGACAGATACACGATAGATAAATACACACAACACACACACACACACACACACACACATATATATATATATATATATATATATATATATATATATATATATATATATATATTATATATATGCATACAATATTAGTTGACGGAATCTGTATTAGAGTCACTCTCGCAACACTTCTGTGCAAAAAAACATCACTTCTGAGCTAATATACCGAAGAGTGAGATACAGAAATTTTCGAAAATTTCTAATTTTTTGAGACCTATGGAGCACGTGGTCGACAAAAATAGGCCTACAAAATATAGACCTTGCTAGGAAAATCTCCAAATACCTGTAAAAGATCCGATTATGTAAACCCAGATTTTAAGCGACAAGTTCACAAACATACAATAATCATTCAGATACATACCATATGTATCTCGTATCAAAACCTATAGCCATCTGTCCATACATCCACATACATACACACACGGTACGCACACATGTCCTCCTCCCAGCCCCCACCTGCCGCAAAAACAGAAAGTGTAACGTCAATGCAGGTACACTTTGTCTCCCCCGTAGGACTACTTAAGTAAGCATGGGGACGCTTGAGGAACCAGTCACCCTGTGAACACCATCGAGTAAGGACCTACTCTGCTGCTTGTCCTGCTCCGCTTCTTGAGCTTTTGCGCTACACAATGACCTCTCACGGTATGGTTTAAGGCTTAGTTTATTTAGCGCTAATGCGTGGTAAGGGTTTTATAGTGAATGTATTAGTTGATGTTAAGGTATATTTATGATATGCGTATGGTTTTATAGTGAAT